AGTCAAGTTAAAGAAGATAAATCCCCAAAGCTGAAAATTCGGAGAAATCCATATGTAACATAATATCGGAAGAGAGTATGATCGAGCCCGAACAAAGCTATATAGTATAGTCATTTATATTAAAAGTATTAGAATTTAAGGAATCAGACATGACAAGTATATTCCAGGAATAAAGAATAATTACCGTTGGTTCTCCTATCAGTAATGCACTAGTACTAACCAAGTGGTTAAAAGCGGACCGAAGTGAAAACAGACGATCGTTTAGCCATTGAACTAGCAGAGATAGTACAAGTAGAATCGTTTAATATTAAAAATACTTTTAAAGGCATCAATAAAACAAAGCTTATTTCTAGTGAGTCCTTAAAAATAGGATTAATGATTTTTGATAAAAATTACCTTCTGAACGCCAGTGTAAAGCACAATAGCATAGTTAATTTGCAAGCCAACAGTGATGCAAGCTCCAGGTAGATAGACTGCATCCACCAACGGCAGATGGATCAAGCTACCCAGCTGGGGCGTGTAACCAGAATAAGAGCGAGTTAGGATGGATTCAGTGTGTTGAATGCGGAGACAGGCAAGCTGACGCCGGCCGGATAATGCCGGTTGAGATCCTGCATAAATGTCTGGTGGGGGCTGACTGGTAAGGAAACAGAGCCATTGTTGGTCGACCAAATCACGTGCCAGGAAGGCAGTTGTGCGCTTAGGCCCGGAAACATGGTCTAATTCAGAAAACTTTGAAGTACCACCCGACTCAGTCACAGGCTTCACAATTTTCTCAAATTTACATGTATCACCAACTTTGAAGAGGGGCTTCTGAGAGGAATCAACTTTATTAATGCCAAGAGCATCTACGGTGGCACCAGTAGCAGCAGTGCTAGCGATGAGAGATCGGCTAGAAGAGCGAAACACGGTAGATGAAAGGTCAGCAGCCAGCTTGGGGTGTGTTAGCATTGCCAGGTAATGTCCTGGAAAGCTCGACGTAGCTATTTCACGGTCAGCTAGATAGAAAGATACACGATATAAAGATCATATATAAAGATCAGAGCCAAGAGGACTATATCTCTGGTCTCACTAAGTAAAATGTGCCCTTTGTGATAATGTGGCACTAAAGATATCAAATTTTGCCATTGTAGATAGGTTCGGGGTGCAAATCTCGTATGTAATACCGAGGAAATTGTAGCTGAAATTAATATCGAATTCCTCTTCATACAATAAACAGCTATTAGGGTAAGATATATGGTCAAGCCAATTAAAAAATCAGACTTTATCCTCCATTTCCTATGACTCGAATATCTAGTTCCAAAACAAAAAACGATATATTTATATTATAAATAAAATTCATTTGACTTAGAACAATTGTGTAGTAATGATAGTGATAACTGTGATGCTTGCTTTATAGTATCCAACTATTTACGGGAAGCTCACCAATGCAAGAGTCATCCAGGCGATATGATTTAGTAAAGCCAGAGGCTAGAGCATGCCTTTCTTGCTAAGGAAACATTAACCAAACTAGAATCTCGATGAAAATGCTGATAAAGCTAAAGGTACATTTGAATTGCAAGCCCCTTTACATAGTTCTTAATTCACGTCAGAAACAAGAATTTCAAGTTAAAAGGATGACAACACATTGTAAGGGCACACGCAGATTCCGAAAAAAGTCAACCTAATTTTTGGCGAATACTCGTAATCCGTAGGTTTCAATAGTGTCAGCAGATCTAAGTGAGAGCTGTAGTTAGCCTAGATTACATTAGGTGGTGAAGAAGAGATGAATTTTCCCACAATGCTATGCGTAAATCCCAAAATGAAACCGAATTTCACCAAGCCCTATCATCTAAAAGGTATTCTCATCCAAGGTGAACTACAGTTATGAGCTCTCATGGAGCTCATCAGCAACTCCACTGGAAATCAAACTGTTAATGAGCTTAAAGTATTGGAACATTATCAATAGGCCACGTAGCCGTTAGAGCTAGTATTGAAAGCAATATAACCAACCGAGAACACAAAGTTGAGTGGAACATTCCCAGGGCGTAAAAAATAAATAGAAAATTAGATATATTTCAGTGAATCCTATCATTAAAATGTTTAAATGGCATGAAATGTAGTGTGCTAGGGAGTAAAAATAACAATGAAAGATGGCAACGTACAAACGATAAATAGGCAAATTACAAATATATTCCAAATGTTCATCAACAATTCAATCATAAGACCATGAAATACGGATCAGAGATGAATACTTACACTTTGCTGGAGTCAGATGCGAAACAGATTGAGGCATATTGTTATCTTGTGAATCGACGAAAGTAGGAATGCCGAGTGCGTGAACAGGATCACCTCGCAAGTGTATCTTCGATTCAGTCCAAATGAGACGGAGACATGCTTTGGGTAGTAAGGGTTCTTCGGAAGGCAGTTCTTCATTTAAGTGTGACAAAACATTTAAGGACTCTGCTGATCCGATTTCCGGCGGCTGGAGCGCGGAATGGGAAGCGGAAAAACTGGCTTGGAGGACAGAAGGCGAGGAACTAAAATATGTGTTTAATACGATTTAACAAGAGATAGCAAATTAGTTAATATGTAAATATAATATCCATAAGTTATTTTATAAAGCATTATTGAGGAAAGGTCTCAT